GGAATTTTAAAGGGAACATTGTTTTATGGTTTTAACAAATTTAAGTTTACATACTTGTTTTTCAAATAACTGAAAATTTTCATACTTGGTGAATAAAAGAATAGTTTCCTAACTACAAGATTACGAAAACGTAATACAGTATCATTATGTAAAAGTGCTTGGCTTCCACATATTTGTACATGTACATTGTGCCTGTGCCAGAGGTTATTGTAATTAGATTTGTAAGTACTTTTGATAATCTAGTATTATTGATATTCAGAACAAGACTTTTTAGGACACAAGTTAAAATGCTTTAAAATGTAACTGTTTCTGGGTGTATAACATCAATAAATATTATTAATAATTGTCTTTCCTTAAAATTTTACACCCCTTTGATAGGCATACAATGATATGCCACTGCACATTTTCCAAAGAATTAGCAATTATTTATTTAGTAGTATAAGACATTAGCTAAGATGTAAATTTTATTTCAAGTCAAAAAGATTAATCACTTGGTTGATAGCTAATACATTCCAGCATCCAGGAAATAACCGACGTATTTCCCATGAGCTGAACTACTCATAACATATGTGTAGATTTCTTATTATTTCCAGTTTTCACTTTTTATAATAAAGTGAACTAAAAAACAGGAAAGCTGCCTGAAAGTTTTTTGTTTCTGATTTTAAAAGTAAATTGTACTCATTGCAAGAAATTGGGAAAACCAGAAATGCATAACACATTTTTAAAAATTAGATGATAATTACATTCTCGTACACTGTATTCTATTTTTTTCTGTACATATATATACACACACACATATATATGCATATATATGCTTATGTTTTAATCAAATTGGCATTATGCTACACATATACCAAAATTGGTATTATACTATACATTACCCTTGATATTTTTTCTGAACAATATGTCTCAGATCTCTTTTATTTAACCATTTGTTCAATTTTATTCAGGTGTAAATCAAACACATATCTGTGTCCTGTTCTTTCATGAAGCTTACTGTCTAGTGGGGGAAACATAAACATTTTATTTTTATTTATTTTTTTTTTTTGAGATGGAGTTTCACTCTTGTTGCCCAGCCTGGAGCGCAATGGCGCGATCTTGGCTCACCGCAGCCTCTGCCCCCTGGGTTCAAGTGATTCTCCTGCCTCAGCCTCCCGAGTAGCTGGGATTACAGGCATACGCCACCACGCCCGGCTAATTTTGTATTTTTTTTTCTTTTCTTGTTTTTTTGAGACGGAGTCCCACTCTGTCTCCCAGGCTGGAGTGCGGTGGCGCGATCTCGGCTCACTGCAAGCTCCACTTCCCACGTTCACGCCATTCTCCTGCCTCAGCCTCCTGAGTACCTGGGACCACAGGCACCTGCCACCATGCCCGGCTAATTTTTTGTATTTTTAGTAGAGATTTGATTTCTCCATTTTGGTCAGGCTAGTCTTGAATTCCCAACCTCATATGATCTGCCCACCTTGGCCTCCCGAAGTGCTGGGATTACAGGTGTGAGCCACCATGCCCAGCCAACATAAACATTTAAATGTATAATATCAAAATATAAGTTTTATTAAGGGGGAAGACAGGTCCTGTGAGAGAGACTAACTTTAAGAATGGAGCACCTATTTCAGATTGATGTTTAGAGCTGGTGTACTGACATTTAAGTAGAGGCTTTATAAAGGATGAGGAAAAAGCCATTTAAGAATGGGGTTAAGAACATTCTAGTAAGAGGAAATAGCAGGTGCAAAGGCCATGAGGTGGGAAAGGGTTTGGTGTGTAAAAGGGCCTACAAGAAAGCCAGGAGGCTGGAGCAAAGAGAAAGAAGGGATACTGCCTATAATGAGGTTAGAGAGGAAAATAGGAGCCAAGACCTGTAGACCAAAGAAAAGAGATTTCATTATAAGTACTATGGGAAGCCATTAAAAATTTTTGGCTGGTGGAATGACATGGACATGTTTACATTTTCAAAAGATTACTCTGGATGTCACATAGAAGATGAACTGGAAGGAGAACAAAAGAAGAAGCAGAAATGTAAGTTAGGAGGCTCTTTGGGTAGACCATGAGAGGGACGAAAAGCTTGAATTAGGCTGATAATAGGAGCTATGGAGAGAAGTAAACAGCTGTGAGGCATATTTTGGAGTTATAACTGATAACTTATGAGCTAGTGATGAATAGGAGTTGGCAGATTAAAAAGAAAGACTTGAGATTGATGACTTTCATTTATGGCCTGATAAATCAAGCGGATAGTGGTAGCATTTATTGACAAGAAGTAAACTTGGTAAGCCACCAGTATTAGGGTGATATTTGTGATACAAAATAATTATTTTATGTTTGGATGATACTTTTGAGGGATCTATAAAACAACCACTTATATAAGTTAAGAAAGCAGTTGTATGCATGAGTCTGTACCCAGAAGTGAGTCTCAGAGCTGATGACATGCCTTTGGAAGTTATCGTGTAGATGGTATTTGAAACCGAAGAAATTATCCTGGTCTGTTTTGTGTTGCTATAACAGAATACCTGAGACCAGGTAATTTAAAAAGAAGAGAAATTTATTTTCTCACAGTTCTGAAGTCTGGGAAGCCCAGGATCAAGGCACTGGCATCTGGCGAGGGCATTCTTGCTGTATCCTAACATGATGGAAGGCAGAAGGGCAAATGATGGCCAAATGCTGTATGAAGCCTCTTTCATAAGGGCCTTCATTCCATTCATAAGAAAGGTGCCCTCATGGCCTAATCACTTCTTAAATGCTCTGCATCTTAATACTGTCATGTTGGTAACACCTGAATTTTGGAAGGGATACATTCAAACTATAGCAGAAACAGATGAAATAACCTAATAAAAAGTGATTGTATAGGGAACAAGAGTGCCTTGAACTGAGGTCTGCCAATGAGATGTTGAATACTTGAGAATCTGAGAAGAGGAGAAACACAGAGGAATGTGGTGTCAAAAGTCAGGAAAGACGGCTTCTAAAAGAATGAGTGGACAGCTGTGGAGAGGTCTGGCAAGATGAGGGCCAGAAGTGACCACTGAATTTGGCAATATGAAGGTTACTGGTAATATCATCAAAAACAATTTCAGGACTGTGTGTTAGAAGACATATTGTTATGGATGTAGTCATAATTTATAGATTATTTGCTAAAACCAGGATTTTAATGGCTACAAATTAATCTTCACTAGAGATAGCAGAGTATACTTAGTCACTCCTATTGCTGAGGAGCAGCATTCTATGAATAATAGGCTTGTGTGTGTTTTAAGGGCTAATAGGCTCTGGGGAGTTGCTGGCTGCACCTCAATGGGGCTTACTGTGGGAAATTTCACTTCATTTTAAAAAATTCTCTCTGAGTGGGAGTTTGGGTTAAAAATCCAAATACTTGGGAATATGGGTACTGGCTGAGTTTCTCTTTGAGAGTGTTGTGCATTTGCAACTTCGGTGCTCTCTGCTCTGGTCTGGAACCCATCTTTCCTCCCAGCAGTAGGAAGAGTGGGAGGGTGGAGGGTCCCTCTTGTTTATACTTGAACTTACTGACTTCTGCACAGTTGTCTTGAAGTACACGAGCACTGCCAGCCCCTGGTTATTTGGGTATATTCTCTTATTCCGACTCCCTTCAAATTAGAAAATTAAAATGGATAGGCTCATTGTTGGATCTTCTCCAGGGCCTATGTTTTATGCTTAAATAGAGGAGAGTCCTAGAAAGAATGCAGATTTTATAGCCAAAGTGACTTAGGTTGAAACTCTGCCTTACTTTTCTTATCTCTAAAATGGGCTAGTTCTATCATGCAGAATTATAGTAAATATTTAAAGTAACGTATGAAAAGTGCTTGGAACAAAGTAAACACTCAATAACTGGTGGCTGTAATTGATATTATTGTTTAAAGAAAATTCTTGATATTATTGAAATGTTGAATTAGTGACTTGGGTTATAATTTGTCTGTATGATATTGTTCTGTGATATAAAACATTGTCCAATGGCATAGACCTCTGAAAATTTGTTCTTTTTGGGGGTGATCCGTTGGAAGTAGCCTTAGTAAATCCTATGTCATCAATATTTTGTACTATGGTTTTATTATTACAATTTAAGAAAGCTTCACATTTTAATGGATTAGCACAGTTCTTCTGTTTTCCTATTAAAAAGATAATATTTCATTGAACTTTAATAAAAGTTGGTTCGTGATAAGACAGCATGCTTCATTGCCTAATGTTGCTCAGAACTAAAGTTAAAATTCTCTCATTAGAATTCCATGGGAGTTGGGAGGGAAGAATGTAAGCCAAGGATGGAAAAGAGATGTAAATTTTATATTTGTGCTCTATCTTTGGGAGAAGTGCCAAATGGCCTTCTTTCACATTGAAAGGAGGAGGACTAGAAAGTGTAATATTTTTTCCTGTTTTCCACTTGCCCTAAGATGGAGAGACTTAGTTTTTCTAAGCTAAAGTGCAGCATATTGCTTTAAAAGATGCAAAAAGAATAGGTTCCATTTTAGCTATCTAGATATGGTAAAAATTAAAACATGATTAATCAGAAACAACTGATTGTTGTGACATATGTGTGTAGGAGATTTTCAGAGCATTCTCCCCAAAACATGGCTAATAAACTGCATTGTATATGGGACTGTTTTGTATAAAAAGAGGAAGAAGGTTATGAATACTTTGATCTCTTCAATTATAAGAATATGTATTGCCTGGCCTTCTCATATACAAGGTTAGGAAATATATTTAAATTTTAGGTAGAAATAACTTCTTTTCATTAAAGAGGATTTAACTTTCAAGTAGGGAGAGGAGAAGGAGAAGCACTATGGTTTGTCATATGAATTTTGGGGAGAAGCTGATTTTTGAATGAACTCAGGGCTTGTTTTCTGATTTCCCTGAATAAATAAGAGAGATGATTTGATCTCTAAAAAATTTTTTATTATTTGGATATTTATTGCTTATTTTTTAAAAGAACTGTATGATGTTATGTACTGTACTTGTAATAAGTAGCCATACAATGTTTAATTTTAAATTCTCTCTTTCCACAGTTTGGAAGAACTGAAGTAATTGATAATACTTTAAATCCTGATTTTGTAAGAAAGTTTATTCTGGACTACTTTTTTGAAGAAAGAGAAAATCTTCGTTTTGACTTGTAAGTTCTACTACAATTTGCATTTAGAAAAATTTGATTTTTAAAGACAGTATTACTAATGTAAGGCAAGGTCTTATGGTTGCACTGAGTTCTAGATTATATTGGCAGGAAACCATATTAATTCTTTTCAGAGTGTGACCCAAGCAAGCCCCTTGCTTTGCATTTTGTAGGTCTGAATATGTATTCAATGAATAGGTGAGCAGTTTAGCCATGCAGGACGGTGTATATGGATGTTCTTCCCAACTGCCCTGGGCTTCAGTGGATTTCCTACAAGTTCTATGTATACTCCAAAGTTATCACATCTACTCCTATGGCTGATGTCTCTCAGATCTTTGTCTCAGCAGCTTCTTAGCATAGCACCTGGATCCCTGCCTAACTATGGCTTCCGTTCATCCCTTGGTAGTCTTGTATTTTTCCAAGGGCCAGGATAATCGAGTCAGCATTTTAAATATGTTAAGTATTCTTGTTACTTTGATACTGAATCTGGCATATTAAAACATTACTGTCAAATCCAACTTCCTGTCCACAGAGAACCTAGAGTCAGCCTGTTTATATTATTAGAGAGTTTTTGTTCCACAGAAGTGAACTGTAGTGATTGTTGAAGTATTTAGATATGATTAAAAGGAAATCTGTTGTGGGGATGTGGGTAAAATATGCTTAAAATATCAAAATAATTAAAGGAAATTTATGAACATTAAAAAGATAAATGTCTTGTTTTAAATAGCTGAAAATCCTGATGTACCATGCTTTTACAATTTATAAATACTTTTGATAACAAAAGCTATCAATATCTTATTTGAAAAAGTCATAATTTGCTTCATAATTTAAAAAATGAGAGCTTTTTACTGTTAATAGGCTTTCTCATTTTCCTCTAAAATACGCACAGTAAAATAACCGGCAGCGCTGTGTTTAAAAAAGATCTTAAACTAGCTTCTTTCTTCAGGAATACTAAGTATTTGTCATATTTATCAAACAAAATTATTACATCCATATTGGTTTTTTATTTTTTAGAAACTCTTTTCCAAATAGTAAAAATGAGCTTATCAGAAGAGAAACTGAGATGGAATGTGGCAACTTCCTGATGATGTTTATGATACAGGCTGCACTCAGTGTTGCCACTAAAAAGCAGATTTCAATCATATAGTATGTGGTTGAAACAGATATCAATCATGTAGTATGTGGTTGAAGTCTCCCATTATTCTGGGCCTTGGTAGCAAGTGCTTTTTAAGAATTTTCTTTTACACCAGCATGGACTCTTAATTTTTCCTCCTTAATCCCAGACTTAACTTTCTGTTTAAACCAGGCTCTATTTCATGATTCTTTATTCCCCTATTTGTTTTTTCTTTCTTTTTTCTTCCTTTTTCATTCATCTGCATTATTTTCACGGTTGAAAGTAATCAATATTTATTACAAACTTTAAGTGATACAGACATTTAAAATGAAGCTTCCTTTTATCCTAATACAAAAAAGCATCGTCCCCTGCCCCCCAAACCTGCAAATGATTCAGTGTATATGCTGGCAGATCTTTTTTTTCTTTAAGCATACAGATATGCATACAGGAATTGCAATAAATATATTTTCCTTTACCTTGTATTTTGCAGGTATCCTTTTATGCCACAAAATATGCAAACACCACATTCATTTAAAGGTTATATAATTTCCATTGTTCAAAAGAACTGCAATTTATTTAACCAAACACTTTCTGATGGGCATTGCTGGTTCCATTTTTTCTACTACATATATCCTGCAGTGAGTTTCCTTGGATGCAAATCTTTTGTAATATATATTTATATATAGTTTACGTTTTGAGAGGACACATTACTTAGAGTCAAATTTTAGGATTACAGGATGCAGACCGGAGTATCCACTGTCTGGTTCTAAATCTTTGAAATCAACTCGTGTGAAAGTTGATTATATGAATTGAGTCATTCTTGTCATACCCAACTAAATCGGAGTCAAGAGGCCAGGGGAAAAAAGCACTTACAGCACCTGTTCCAAGAATTGAATTTTCCACAAGGCCAATTGCTGAATCCGTTCATGTAACCCTAAAGAACAGTCATGACCTGCCATGACTCTATGACTGGTTTTACCTACACCATCACTCACCAATCACCACTTTTGCCAGCTCCCAAAAGCTTCTTAGTGCCAATGAGTTTTCTTTCAAAACAATATATAGCATTTCTCTTTCTAATAAAACTCCCAACCTTCTCTTTGTTTTTGGACATACTGCATGAAAACCACCCTGGTCTGTGTATATGCGCCCTGAATTGCAATTCTGTGCATCCCAAATAAAATATTTAATTTAGAGATTCATCTCTGTATTTTATTTTAATTTCAACATTGGAGATCCTATAAGCTTTGTTACTTCCCTAAACTCCTTGTCAGTTATTTAGCTCTGATTTTTAGATCCATGTCCTGCTCTTCATTCATTATGTGATACTCAAAACTCATCTGTTCCAGAACATTTACCTCCGAGTGACAGGAAACTATACAGTAACATAAATCAGTGTTAAGTAAATAGATATATTTTAACTTTCTTAACTTCCTAATTGAAGTTGAAGCAATTTTTACAGAAACAGTGTAATGTTTGAAATGTGAAAGCATATTGCAAAGTGGAATTAAATAAGTATCATTTTACCTTTTGTATGTATTTGGTTAGTTTCAGAAATTCAAAGAATATCTCCATTTTATATGATGGCTGAAAAGTTCAAACAACTAGGGCTAGAAAGGGTTACCTGCAGAAGATCATCAGAAGAGTAACAAGCCCATCCTCTTAGTTCATGTAGTGTCTTCTCTATCACTTTAATTCCTTTGATTTTCCATTTTTTAGAATACTCACATAATAACCTTTAACCTGAAAGAACAGGCTTATATTATCATCATCCTTATTATTATTGTGATTTCTTCAGGATATCTATGTAAGTAAATGTGGAAATAGTGTAATAGTTCATGAGTTATGTATATATATTATACCTGTGGTGATTTTTAAAATACTTAGCAATGTGTTATTCCTAGTAAAAGTAACATATTCATGATAAGAAATTGGAAAATAAAAGATTAAAGTAGCAATACAAATTACCAGTAGTCCCAACCTCTACCACCAGAGAACTACTGCAAATATTCTGACATATTGGCAGTATCAATCCTAAGTAAATATATACTGAAATTAATCTCTAAGAAAAGGGTTTATTGGGAATAATATATAATAATTAGAATTGCAATTGGACACGTACACACGCATACCAGAATGGTTTCTGGTGCGTTCAGAGAGCAAAAGGAAAGGCTGGAGTTTTATTGGGAAAAGAGAAAAATTACATAGGTTATTTTGAAAGAAAGTTTATTGATGCTGGTTGTGTTTTACAGAAGCTAGTGATCTCTGTTTGGTAAGGGTGGCAATTACTAGGTTAAATTGTCTCAAGATCATAGCAGGTCCTTGAGGTTTTGGATTGGGCTTGTGAGACAGTTCTTGGAGTAGGTGTTTGTGACTCCCAAGTGATTTTCCCCGTGGCTCTGCTGCCCCTTCAGCCCTGATTCTGTTTTAGTTGGGTTTGACAAAAATGGCCTCATTTTATCTGATCAATTTTTATTGCAGTAACATAGTTCGTTGAAGGAACAGCATGCTGAAAGATGCGCTAGTGTAAATTAACCAACAGATAGATGCAAATGGTTTTCAGAATTGTTTTGGATTTCCTTAATACCTATTGATTTTGTAAAATTCTAAAAAATTTAAAAAAGAAGCTTTGAACATGTTTTATCTAAACTGGAGAAATGGCTTTTATAAACTTAAAAAAAATTTCAGTGCTTAAACAATTGTAGTGACAGTGAGAGAAAAAGAGAAAGACATAGAGAGAGACAAATTATTTCTGCTACCACTGACCCAAATTCTTGTAAGTACTATAATAGTTAACCGATATTAATTTTATTATTGTACTATGTTATGTCTGAGATATATTTTCAAGATTACCTTATCGGCTATGAGTCCTAAAATTCCCTTGCCTTTTTGATCCAGTATGTACTTATTCTCAAGAGACATGGTTTCTCTCGTCAGGTTATGTATATATCACAGAGAAAGTAATAAACTTTGACATTTATTTATTTTATTATAATTATCACACTGATGATAATACAGGTTCCTCATAAATCCACTTTGTTGTCATGGTTGAAAACTTTATTATTGGTAGAGCAGCTGTACCAAAATGCATTTGAACAGGAAGTGTGGCTAGCCTTATCACTTCATAGTATGTGCCAGATATAGGATAATTTAGAAATTACACTTCTCATTCGTGTTCCATTCAGACTGGAACACTAAAAAGGGATTCCTGAGTCTAGATATGACTTACCTAGAGAATTATTTTCTTTCTTGATAAATAAAATGGTGATAATCATGAAATGTATAATGTTACCATAAAATATTTTAGATGGATCTCAACACTTGAGGAAAAATAAGTTGTTTTATTTCTTCTAGTATAGTTGTCTCAATACAATGTCAACTGTGATTTTTTTCCACTGGTTAAGGCTCCCTTAACAATGTCAAAGTCTAATTTCATACCTTTTCAGTCACTTTGTTTCTTAAAACCATGTTACTCTTTTAATTGTTAGATACTTTTTATTTTAAAACTTAATCTCAAACTTAATTTAAGACTTTTCACTTCCTCTCCCTTCAACTGGAGCTGTTGCCCAGCTCCTTGCAGACAGAAGGAGGTGGAATGCAAAAAGGTAGCGGTGTTGGGAGACTGAGATGTGGTTCTCCTACTGTCCAAAAAATCCAGACCTTATATGGAATCAGCCTCAGGGGACACATTTTAAGCACCCTGCTTGTCTGTCCTTATGGAGGAGGGCAAAGAGGACATTATTCTATGTTTTTCATCTCTCAGAAAACACTTTCTAGAACTTTCCAGTGAGTTTCTCTTCCATTGATGGCCCCAGGGTGGACTTGCAGCAGGGCCCCATAGCTTACTGATGAACCAGATGCAGTACTCCCCTTCTTGCAGGCATCCCAGATTTGGAGCCATACTTTACTTGGCTTTGGGAGTAGAAAGAACCTCCCTACTGCCCCCCAACAGAGAGGAAAAGTCCTCACTTATGAACAGTGTGTTCACCTGGCGATGGACTAGTCCCCTGAACTTTGGGGAGAAAGTATATGACCCTGCGATTGACTCAGTAGCTCTGAGCTAAGCATGATCACATATTTTTTTTTCTCTTTGGCCTTAGTTGCAATTCCAGAAATACAAGAAAATTTCCATCATTATCTGTTACTCTCGAATCAAAAACATAATCCTTGAGGTGCACCCAAATCAGCTACTGCCAATTCATTACTATAGTAGTAGGTTTCAATGGCAGGATGAAGTTGTTTACAAAATTGTTACTAAATTTAGGCACAGTGGATGCATCCTCTTAGGAGAAACCACCAAGCTTCTTCCATGATGATATATTATCTCTTCCTTAAAGAAAGTATGGAACTCATAAACAGATACACAGGTACACGTATACATTGTAAGCAAGTTAGGATGTAGTGTTTATGTTGTGACCTGTGAGAGTGAGGCCTAGAGAAGTCTTGATATATTTAGAAAAGCTAGAAGAAAAATTGTGTTAAAAGAGATGGTAATTTAGGCTAGCATGGTGGCTCACGCCTGTAATCCAGCACTTTTGGGAGGCTGAGGGGTGGATTACTTGAGTAGTTCGAGACCAGCCTGGCCAACATGGTGAAACCCTGTCTCTACTAAAAATAGGAAAATTAGCCAGGTGTGGTGGCGGGCACCTATGTCACCCACCTATGTGACTCTGGAGGCTGAGGCAGGAGAATCACTTGAACCGGGAAGGCGGAGGTTGCAGTGAGCTGAGATTGCACCAGTGCACTCCAGCCTGGGCAACAGAGTGAGACTCTGTCTCCAAAAAAATGAAAAGAAAATGGTAATTTCTAATGCTTTATAATCTAACATATTGTATTCAGGTGTATTATATAAATTACCTGTGAGATAATGGTATTTAAAAAGCTTTGTAAAATACAGTGAAAGAGGCTTGTATTTGAAGATACTTACGCTTTTTGTGATGAAAACATTTTCCTTTTACTTCTTAACTGAACATTCGATGTCATTTCTCCCCCAATCCACACTCGGTTCTTTAGAAGATAGTTTCCAGAGTTGATTTTGAGAAGGAGCTAGCACAGCTATATTTCATCTCTGATATTGTTTTAGTTGCTAATTTCAATCTTACCTTAAAAAAAATTTTCTTATATAAGAAACATTTCTTGGATAAAAAAATATATATTTTTTTACTAGCGACTGTAGTTCTACAGTGAATGTTGGCAATTTGCTGATTTAAAATTCCAGGCTATAGCTGTTGAGAGTGCTCAGAATGCCTTGATGTGAAGGAGAGTAATTTGTAATTCTTCTGAGGCAGGCTTTTGCATCATGCGTTGTTTTTTGTTTTGTTTTGTTTGGTGTTGTAAAGTTTAATTATACAATTATGAAAATAAATTCATTTATGTAGATAAACAGGTCATAATGAGTGTGTGCTGTTGGAAGAGAGAGGGAATTAACTTCCTCCTTATTTAAAAAATAAGAAGAAGTCATATTCTCTGCATTTAATCCTTCATCTTTCTGCTTCTCCCTATGGAAAGGAAGTCACAGGACTTCTGGAGGAGAGGCTACTTGGATAAACACAGAAAAAGCTCTAAATATTTTAACTTTTATCATGGACATTTTCAAGCATATTCAAAAGTGGCATGTACATATTGCCAGTCTTAGTTCATTTACTTCCTCCAGGTTATTTATTATATACTTACTGCTGAATCACTTTAAAGCAAATCATTTCACCTTTCAATACTTCAAAATAAAGCTCTCACACATAAGGGTGCTTATTTATGACCTCCTGTTTGTTTGCTTGTTTTAGAAGACCACCTTACCCCAAATAAGTACTTAATGGCAGCTAACATTCAGGCTATTTGGAAATTTCTCTGATTGTCTTAAAAATGTCTTACAATTAGTTTGTTTAAGTAAAGCTCCAAACAAGAGTCACACATTGTATTTTTCTCCTGTGTCTGCTGTATTCTATAATAATCTCCTTCCCCTCTTTAATACCAGTTATCTGTTGATGAGATCAGAATATTTTTTAAAAGAGAAGGTGAGGCAAGACATTCCATCTCTATAGAGTGGCTCTGTGTGTTATCTCTCACATCCCATCACTGGAGTAATGAGCTGATTGTTCAGGTATTGTCTGCCTGATCTGTCCATTAGAAAGGACCATGTCCTTTCACCTCGAAGCCCTAGTATCCTTGGATAATTATTACCTAGAACCATTGCAATTCTAAAGCTAGTTTATGGTGAACATTCTTTGCTAGGCAGTGAATGGACCCTCTGCCTAGCATCCATATACTCAGTGAACATTTATTGATTGAGATGCTTTCTTTATTTGTGAAAACATTCTTGTTATGTGAGAGAGGAGACTTTAATTAACCTTTAAAAAGGCAGTTAATTTTTGGTAGGAAGCTATTCACAAGGAATTTGAAATGATATATGATTTGGGAGAAAGACTGTAGTCAGTACAAATATTTTCCTATACAAGAATTTGGCAAATTGAAGGTATTTTGGCTATCAGTGTCCTCTCTACTTCTACAACTCTTTAATGCCAGGGGATAAAGTGATAATGAATGATCTTATTGCCGAATCTCTCCAAGAACTGATTAATTTCTGGTACCAACTGGTCAAAACTAGAACACATGGTAGTCTTACTTAAATATGTTTCTGTTTCCATAAAATGTATGTTTTCTTTAAGTTCTGTGATTAGGGAAAAATAATGTCTCATTACTCCAGCCAATTTAACAATAGCATTTAAGATAGAAAGTAAAAATTAAAATGTGTGCTAAGGACAGTCTGTTACCAGGATCTGTTTGTTAAATAATTAATTTGATTTTAAAAAATATTTTGAGATAAACACAGATTCATTCACATGATGTTGTAAAAAATAATACAGAAATTATACAGAGAGACCTGTGTATCCTTTACCTAGCTTCTCCCAGTAGCAACGTCTTGCAATATCACAAATAGGATATTGACATTTATCCTGGCAACATACAGAATACTTCTATCACCTCAAGGATCATCCCTCATGTTGCCCTTTAAAATGATGTCCAGAGAAGAGGGCTTTTCAGTTTTTAAGGAATTTTGAGGTAAGTTGAAAAGTACTAGGATACTACTGACGCACAGAAAAGAGAAATTTTAAACTTAAGTGCAGAAAAGAGAAAGTTTAAACTTATCAAAAAGCAGAATTGATTATTGAGAAAATATTAAGACTTGTTAGGTGTTTAGAAATGAAAGAACCCAAGGATCGTGAATTCTACCGTTGGCATGTAAGCCACAGATTGTGTGAAACTTTAAAATTTGCTAAGTTTTTCTTCCTATTGGTATTATTTTGGATTTCATTTTTATATTATTTATGTGTTCTGGAAAATACTGTTTTTTTTTCCTAGCTGTATTTTGTGGAAATAACTTGAGTTTTGTATTTCAATCCTTTAGGTATGATGTTGATTCAAAGAGCCCCAACTTATCCAAACATGTAAGTTCATATTTTTATGTTTTTTTAACATTATAATATAATGATTAGTACTTATGCTGACTTATTAATATTAAAGTTATACACCTATTAAGTTATTCATGTAACATGATCATCATAGAAAATAAGTAACATTTTAAAAGAACCCCAGAAAAACATTTTGGAGGAGCTAATTTTAAAAAGTGACCTTTAGTAAGTAAAACGGACTAATCTTTTTAATTTTTAATTTTTATTTTTTAAATAAATGATGATTGCAGTTCCCAGTGGTGTCTGAAGTTGGATCAAGTTAAGCAAGATGAAACAATGAGCCTGTGTCTTTTTGGAAGGTTTAACTTCTGAGAGAATGGAAGTAGTTGAGTGTAGGTAGAGTGGTTTGTTATTCTGTTTTTTTTTTTTGTAGTTTATTTACCAATATTTCCTGAATACCTGTATATGCCAGGCACTGTACTAGTTTCAGAGGGCATAATATGGGCAAGATAGACATAATCTCTGTCCTCAAGCCACTTACAGTGTTGTTTTCTTTTTGGGGTCCCTCCTTCGATCTATTCCTCTTTTCTCAAGAGCTCTAGTTGCCAGCAACACTTGTTACCTGGGAGATTTCTAGGTCCAGGAGTAGTTGGGCATCAGAGCTAGACAGAAAAAGAGGTGCAGATGGGAAGGGAGGAAAGAGAATGAGATACTCCAGCAAAGTATTGTGCTAATCCATCAACTTGTTTATTGACCTGTGAAGTTGGAATTAGGCCACCCCCAGTAGGAAGGGCTGAATGAGGGTGAAAACAGCATTCTGAAAGGGGATAACTGAGGTGCCAGGTGAAATCTGAGTACACAGATGTAGAATTAGCAGCTGTGTCAGGGTTAGGAGGCTAGCTGGACTAACAGTGCCCAGAAATGTAGGAGGGTAAGATTTTTTTAACTTTTCCACTGTTGTAGGCTGTCAAACTAGAATAGATGGACATGCGATTTCCCATGAAATTTGGAGAAGGGGAGTGTAATGATTCAGAAAAGAGATGAGGCAGAAAGGGGGAATACAAGCTAGGAAACAGATTTGGAAAATCTGGGAACCTGGATATGTACGGTGGTAAAAATCACATTTACTACTGCCCCCTTCACTGAAGGAAGTATGAGATTTATTTGTGTTATGAAGCATACAGCAGAATCATGTGAAGAAGTATTCAGGAACAGTCTGTCTAAGTGATTTACCTCTTTACAGGTTGAAAAAAAATGCTGCAACAAGCTTATTGCTCTCCATAAGTAAAGTTTGTTGTGGTTGCCATGCCACCTTCCTGCTCATGATTAAGGTTTATAGCATTGTGACTAGACATTTACAATTTATTTACATAACTTTATATTGGAAGTTTTCCAAATGTCCTAAAAAGAATCAGAAAAGAAACTGCATTTTATAGTTGTTGAGTTATAAGGAAAGAACTGTATTCACTTCTCACTCATAGGTGGTTGATTAAAGGGATTGTGAGCATGTCATAAATGTGAAGTGTAACTTGACTTTATGGAAGCTGGCATTGGAAACAGGGTGGTGAGTTGTGAGTGAGATAGCTATCCTCTCCATTTCTCTTTCTCTCTCTCAGGCCACATATTCTTTTTACCATGTCTTTTCTCTGAGCTTCTGCTTCTCTCTGAAGACCAGGTTTCTCTGTTTAGGGAAATGACCTCACTACTTCTAACTGGACATAGACTTCCAAGTACCAGTCTCCCTGAATATAGTTTCTGTGTTTCTTAGTTCAAACTACTCTTTAAAGGGCATACTAACTGGCAGGTAAGGACATTTCCACTGGGTTGGATATTTTGAGTGAAGTTGGGAACATGTGTTTCCTATTAGTGTAGTTGCCTTGTGTACAGGGCAGAGAGAAGTGTATGGGATAGGAAGGTACCTCAAACATGGCTAATTCTTTTCCCTTTAATAGTCACTAGTGACTAAATTTCATTATATAAGAGATATTCCTCCTAGAAACCATAAATGTATATTTCATTTCAAATCTTTCTCTTTTGTAGGAATACTTTTATTTTCATAAGAAAATTTTATCTTGACACTGCTTTATCCTCATGATACCTCTTTTACTATCTCATCAGATTTTCACTTCTGCTTAAACTACCCTGACATAGGTTAGATCAAGATTGAGTATCTTCTTTTCACTCGTTACCTCTTAATCTCTCTCTTTTTTCCAAATAGAATTGACTACTCCATTCTTGAAACGTTCGTTTCTAACTTCCACAGAAACTCCCTTGCTGCTTCTCCAGCCTCCCTGTTTACCCATTATCTGTCACTTGAAGCTTTATTTCCTCCTCTTATTCCTTAATATTATTTTTTCTCATAGCTTTATTTTCAATTTTTATCTCATCTCACTGTATAAACTCTTTTGGGGAAAGCTCAGCCGTGTCCCTACCATACCTGATGACCCTCAAGTGTTTATCCCTCTGGATACCTTAGCAAATGCAAGTTTCAATAGCTTGTTAAGTATTTCCTAGTACATACTTCACAGAAGCCTAAAACTCAAGTAGATCTAAAATTTATGATTTTTTCCTTCCAGATCATGTGCTTCTGCTTCTGTGATTTATCTTGAGAATAATTCATCAACACAGTTTACTCAGTTAGAAAACTTGGATGCAGAGTTAACCACTTTCTGTCTCACATTTGACATTTACTGAGTCACCAAGTCCTGTTCCTTCTAACAAAAAAAATGCTTCTCTTTCTGTCTTCTTCTTTCCCTTCTTGCTGTTATTGCCTTAGTTCAGATTCTCATTACTTTTCCACCGAGGTATTGCATTGTCCCCTGTAGGTCCCATGGTTTATATTATTTCACATTTTAAGCTATCCTTTATATTTGTATCTGTGTTATATTTTAAAAATATATTTAGTCGACTATATGGATTGGTTAATAAGTGCCTGAGCTTATAAGTGGCTGAAGCATGTCGAAAGAGAAGAAAAATGTGTTTTTGGAATGTTATAAGAACTATTAGAGATGACTATCTAGAATTTCTGTTAGAAATTAACAGCAAAAGCCGTTCCTTAATTGAAAGCATTCAAGTATGATTTTAGGTAAAGGGGCATATAACTCTTTCAACCCAAAAGGAATTCATGAGGATTTTTGAAGATCAGACAGAATCAATGAACAAGATAGGTTTATTCCCTGAGGATATGATTCGTTAAGACTGTTGTTGTCTACCTGCCAATTTTGCACAGTGAAATAAATATAAACTGGAACCTTTTAGGGAAGACTGCTAAGTGCCCAGGTTGCATGTGGCATAAAGGCACTTATTTATTTTTTTTACAAAAGGGATTTTGTAGCAAGAGAGGACCCCTTGAATTAGTAATAATAATTTTTTTTCATTCTCATTTCTGATAATTTTGAAAGAATTTTCTTCAGGATGACTTTATTTGGTGTTCGGGTACTTAAGACTCTTGGGTCAAATTCCTATTTTTTGGTACTGTTAGGGAAAATGGAGATAGAATATAGAGCTACACCTTAGATTTCTAACATTGCAAATAAATATGATGTAAGACATAAAGGATCATAATTACTTTAATTGATTCTATTTGTGATGGAAACATGTTTTAGTGAAAATCATTGTGCACCAGGCAAAGACTTATGCAATCTAGGGACATCTTTCTTTAGAAGATTTATTCTGTTTATGATTCTCTGAGGAAATAGCTTTACTAAGATATTTTTCCCTATAGTGTTAGGCCCTGTGAATAAAACATGGCATTTTGAATTTCGAGTTTGTTCTCTAAGGTGCTAGTGAACCTACTAATCTTAATACCATTAGCAGAACTACATTGCATACTTTCATTTGCTTAATAAACTGCATGAGCCAAATCATTAATGAAAGGATTAATGACAGGCCCATAATTGGTATGTATAGGATTCTGGATTGCATGTTGGACCAGATTACATAGAAACTGTACTCTGTATACATAGAAACTGTACTCTGTATAACCCACAAGGCAATCCAAAATACATTTATCCACTTGGTTGGTTGCAGAAGGCACCACTAAAATTTTTGTTTCAGATATATTCATGGCTCACTGGATTATTTTGGCCACTAGACACTAGCCTTCAGTGAAGATGTATATTTTTAACACACTTTCTAAATATTATAAATATAAACTTTCACATACAGATCAACTTGAAAAATTTTATTTGAATGTTGTTTGGACTATGAAATGGATTTTCTCACAGAAACAGATTTTTAAGTGGGGCAAGATTCTTTCATTAGAATATAAAGCTAATTTAACCTATATAGAGATGAACTGAATTCTAAAGTATTCATATATATTCATGTAGGCAGACAGGCAATAAATATAGGACAGGCACTTGTCATGATGGGGAATATAGCAATGAATAAAACAAACAAGGCCTCTCTCCTAAAGTAGCTTACATTTTGGAATTGAAGAGGTGAGGCGAGCAGATTTACTCAATGAACATGAATGCAATAAATGATTAAGATACTTTACTTTCTTTACAGTACTTAAACTAATAATATATTGATACTGGGAGAGAGTGACTGGGGAAGCACCAGTAGTTAGAAGCTGAGGTTTCCCTGAACCAACCAGCATGGTTCTATGCCATTTATCACCTTGGGTGTATATTTACTGAGGAGGAGGAGGGAATGATTGAAAATCTAGGAGAACAGCATCCCAGGCAAAAGGAAGAACAGTACAGTGGCCTTGAGTCAAGAAAGAGTTTGGGGCCAGGTGCGGTGGCTCATGCCTGTAATCCCAGCACTTTGGGAGGCTGAGGTGGGCGGATCACGAGATCAGGAGATCGAGACCATCCTGGCCAACATGGAGAAACTCCATCTCTACTAAAATACAAAAATTAGCTGGGTGTGGTGCACGTGCCTGTAATCCAGCTACTCAGGAGGCTGAGGCAGGAGAATCACTTGAACCAGGATGTACCAGGAGGCGGAGATTACAGTGAGCTGAGATCATGCCACTGCACTCCAGCCTGATGACAGAGTGAGACTCCATCCAAAAAAAAGAAAAAAAAGAGTTGGAATGGTGTGACAGAAAGATGGCTACCATATGTAAAATATTATGAGTGATGAG